GCAAGAATTCAGTAGAAACAAGAAAATTTTAAAGGCATCATTAAGAATTCAGTAGAAACTTGAAATTTTGAAAAGCCTGCATTATTGCTACATGTGATAGCCAAGAAATGGAATCTATTCAAGAAAGTAAAAGCTTAGTGAAATATACAGATAATCATATTTAAGTATTCTTTCACACTGAAAACATTCAACCCAACACATACATTATTTATACACAGTACAGCATGTACAACAAATTGCTCTCATATGCCATATGCTGTGATTTCTCAGCTGTTCCTTCCCCTAATGTCAACTTTAACCCAAGGGTACTGGGTAATCACCCTATCTACTTTTGTTTTCTTTTGTGAAATTGTTTGCATATTGATGGCTTCACATATTCTCAGTCACCATGGAGCATACTAGTAACCTTGCATGTCCTCAGATGATTTTGCCTTTCCTGGATTTTTTGGGATTTCCTCCCCATCTTTTATAATGCTATTAATATTGAAGTTGTGATTATTGTTGTTGGCATTGTAATCATAATAATGTTATTAACAATACTAATAGCAATAATAAAAAATTAATAAAATAAAAGAATCTTTCTGGTAATCAAGGAAGACAGTAAAACAGTGAGCTACAGAGGACCTGTAATTGACTTCTTGGTAATTAAAGACTTGTGGAGCTAGCAATATGTAAAGACAAGTAATAAACAAAAGGGAGGGAGAGAGAGAGAGAGGGGAGAGAGAGGGTGAAGGAGAGAGAGAGAGGTAGAGAGAGGGAGAGGAGAGAGAGGAGAGAGGGAGAGAGGAGAGAGAGGAGAGAGGAGAGAGGGAGAGAGGGGGAGAGGGAGAGAGAGAGAGAGAGAGAGAGAGAGAGAGAGAGAGAGAGAGAGAGAGAGAGAGAGAGAGAAGAGAGAGAGAGAGAGAGAGAGAGAAGAGAGAGAAGAGAGAGAGGAGAGAGGGGAGGGAGGGGAGGGGAGGGAAGAGGATTGAGGAGGGAGGAGGGATTAAGGAAGGGAGGGAAGAGGAGGGAGAGGAGGGAGAGGAAGGGAGGAGGGAGGAGGGGAGAGAAAGAGAGAGAGGAGAGAGAAAGAGAGAAAGAGAGGGAGAGAAGAGAGAAGAGAGAGGGAGAGAGGAAGAGGAAAGAGGGAAGAGGGAAAGAGGGAAAGAGAGAAGGAGAGAGGGAAAGAGGAGAGAGGAGAGAGGGAGAGAGGGAGAGAGGAGAGAGGGAGTGTGAGTGTGAGTGTGAATGATGTGTGAGTGTGTGTGTGTGTGTGTGTGCGTGTGCGTGTGCGTGTGCGTGTGAGTGTGTGTATGTGTGTCGTTGTAAATATGTACATATATAAAATCACACATCATAAAACATTTTCTCAAAACTGATGGCCAACAATAGGAAACAAAAAGAATTCTATAAAAATCTCTTTGAACATGTAGTGTTTGTCCTTCCATTACTCATTTCATTTTTGTCCCTCCAATCCCAAATCTACCATCAATACACTCACATCCACACAATCCCCACTTAAAGACAAAATAAAACTGAATTCTTGTTCTACTGACACTAATAAATATACGCCTGATGCTTTTGTAATGTTCTACAGTGTGATAGGGAAATGTGGTCAATAGGGTCTGCAACTCATGAAAATAATCAACCTCTACTAATATATACTTTAAAAGCTTAAAGTGAAAATTAAGATGAATGATTAATACTAGTTTGAAAAAAAAAAGCTTGGAAGTGTTTAAAATATACAGCACACAAGATTACAAAATGCAGAAGTTGAAACCTCTTTACAGAACTTGATCTAATACATAAAATATATAATAAACATTAATTTTTCACAATCTTTTTTTCTCACTTAGAGGTTTCTTTTTACACCAAAATAAAGAGGTTTCACAAAATATCTAAACACTAATATAAATCCATTTTCCTTTCACCTTATCTATAATTACATAATATGCTTAGAATATATATATCTATCTTTTATCATGAGAAGTTAGAGTTAATGATTCAAACGTCAGCATTGCACATTATAGGCCTTACCTGTTGACACCTCAACAACAGCTGGGGGTTCTGGAAGAAAATAATCAAATTAACATCACTCCATAAATTAGAAATCAACCAGTAATTCCTAAAAAAAAATCTTGAAGCTTATCAATTAAAGCTTTCAGGGAGATGATGTTATATACCTGTAGTGCTTTTTACATTCCTTGAATATATTTTCTTTTATGTACCATTATCGTGTGCAAAGATAATCCTCTCTTGAATAGTACCATGACTGCTAATCCTATATTCAAATGAAGGGACATAAAATAGGAACTTTGGTAGTAGATCTACAACTTTATGTTTCAATGGAATTATCTCAAATTCAAATCCAATTTTTTTTTTCAATGTACAACTCACCTAATTTGGCTGCCTCTCCCTCAGTGACAGCAGGAGCAACTTCTTCTTCCTTCTTCTTCTTCTTTTCGCGGTCTAATTTCTTCTTCATAAGGCCAACATCCTTGGTGACTGGTTTGGGTGGGAGAGGCTCCATCACTGGGCCCAAAAGAGCACCAAGGACGTATCCCGAGCCAGGGATCGTATTTTCAATACTCTGGTTTTGAAAAACAAGAATGATTATAATTGTCAGTAGATAGTATGAATGACTCTGTTCACTCACTCACTCACTCACTCACCCACTCTCTCTCAGAAAAGTTTGACACACTTCCACAATGCAAAACTGCATATAACAAATATACAGGAAAAGAATATGAATGAGAATAAAGACTATAAATGAAATGCACCAAATAAATCTCTTGTGCTGTTAAGCTATTCACTCTCATTCATAACTTTCTCTATATTTGTCACTATGGACATATATGTATCTATTTACTTATCAAAACGTATATACCTCAAAGACTTCAACCATAATAGAAAAAAAATATTACACAAGACCGACACAATAATCCTTGCTAATGGCAACAAACACCTCTAATTCTGACCTTCCTGTTGTCATTACTCCAAGCTGCATATCCAACAACACCTGCAACAAGGGACGTTACACCAGCTGAAGCGATCAAAACCTTGCTCCCACCACCACCACCGGAGTGGGTGGACTGCAGCCTCTGGGCCCCATGCCCACGGGCAATCTGAAAAGGAGGTACACATTCAGTTTTGTTTCTTTGCACTCACAGACAGAGGAGATAGTTCAATATGCTGCTCAGATCTCTAACGTCACATGAGTTAATGAGGACATGTGATGAATGATGAAGATCTCATGTCAAGGGAGAACACTAAGGACTTACATGTATATAATATATATATATATATATATATATATATATATATATATATATATATATATATATATATAATATATATATATATATATATATATATATAATATATATTGTCATTTTATACTTTACAATATATAAAGTTATCTTATAGATATCTATGCTAAATAATGATAATTTATCTCAATTAGATTTCAAACAATATGTTTCCACACAATACCACAAAGATCATCTCATATAAATCTGTGTGCCAATGGGTGATGGGAACTTGCCACCATGAGAATCTCAGCTGAAGGCCAGGATGAAGGAATGACTTACCACAAGTGCACAAAGCTCTTGGAATGTGATTAGACTCAGTAGCCATTTAGAAAGGGGCTTTTGCAATTTTCCACAGATAAACAAGTGTGGAATGTACCATCCATAAAGCATGCCTGGGATAGCACCAGCTCCAGCAAGGACACTGTTTCCATGCTCATGAGCCTTTTCTTGCCCCCATGGCCAGCAGCAGTGTACGTTACAAAAATATTAATATTAGGATGATGAAGTCTGTGCAAGAAAAATATTATTTCCATCTGTATAAATCAAATCAAAGGACAAATATAGACACTGACATATGGCAAAAAAAAAAAAAAAATAATAATAATAATAAAATAATAAAAATAATAAAAAAATGAAAATCTAAAAAAAAAAAATTATGCTGAAAAAGAGAAAACAACATTCCAAAGAGGGGGTATGGAGTCTGGTCACTGTACAAGAGCATGTTTGTGTGCCTGGCCTACAAGCTGCACAACTTTCAGCAGTGCCACTTTCAATTAACTTATATTTTTGGGGAAATATGAAAACTAAGATATAGGGAATAATACCCTGAAAATTAGGTCACATTTGATTACCATGAGTTCTATAGAAATCAAAATAAGACAAGCAGCACGTTAGTACATGCCATGCCCATGCTGAATTTATTTTAATAACTGTATTTCCACATTGATGGCTCCACAAGTAATTAAGTCACCAAGGAGCATACTACATGTACTACATATTTCATCTGTTCACCCTTTTCCTTGATGCTTGGAAAAAAAATTCTTTGTCTTGTACTCTTATCAGTAATGTCAATTACAGTATAATAGTTATAATGTCTATAACAGTAACAGCATATTAACAACATCTGTAGTGAAATTTTGCTACAGTGAATGTTACATTTTTCTAGAGGCATTGGGTTAACACAAAACATAAAATATACAAATCTATTCAAACCATAATGATATTACTTGAATAATGATTCCTTAAGACAGTACCATTCTATTACTGGGTTGGGAAAATACAAAAAAGAGTCAAGCCTGGTCGGAATATATATGTATCTGTAGAATAAAACAAGATAATGCTGTGGTCAATAAATGATATCAGTAGCTACCACTAGCAACGTGTCTACTGCTATCGAGTCCATTAACTCCTTGGAACCAGGTGCTTCACTGCCTGCATGTGGGCTAAAATCAGGTTGTTAGCTTGTAGGCCAGGTGCACACGAACATGCATAGGTAGTGTCAAGACTCCTTACTTCCCCTTTACAATGTTATCTCTTCTTTTTTCTTAAGTGTTTTTGGCTTTTTTGACATTTTCCAATGTCTACATTTGTCATCTGATATACTGTATCCAGTTGATAATAGACTGTTTTCTTTACACAGACCCCATAACCTTTCTCTTGGTAGTCCATAATAAGTAATATTTTGTTATGTGTGTCTTTTTCATATTCAATTTCCTAAAATACAATTTGCATCAACTGTCATAGCAGGCAGGAATAGGTTCCTTAACACAGAAATAGCATACTCCTTGGAGCCAGCGCTCTTCTAATTATGGCTCATAGATAGTACACTCCAAGAGCTTTGCACTCTCATGGGGAGTCATTCCCGTCACTCTGGCCTTTAGCTGAAATTCTCATGGTGCCATGCTCCTGTCACCTCACCCCTCAGCCTATTTTCTTCATGACAGTATTCTGACACTTTTTTCCTATAGGATTTTTTTCACAATATAATAATATGGGTAGGAGAAAGGATGGAAAACTTAAAATTTCCAGATGCTCCATGATCTGTACTCTTCCAGCAGTGTGAGAAAATTATACAAAATCGAGAAAACATTGAACTAATCAGGTGGAACTGTAGTGAATGATGTAAACAAGGGAAATCAAATGACATGACAAAAGACACTAGCAATCAGTCTATTACAGTCAATAAGATTGGTCACTGATAACCACATGATAGAAAGTGGACCCAAGGGAAGTCAGTTGAAATTCAAATCAGTTCCATCTTGGCTAGGCTGCGTATAAAGTTCTGTTTTGCCTCTAATAAGCAAAATATCTGAGCAATAACGAAGTAGTGTCAGATAGTGGTTGCAATTTCTGAGAAAAGAGACAACAAGAATTTTTATGACTCTTAGGCTGTCAATTGCAGATTTATTGGTCATGTTAAGAAATAATCAGTGATAAATCCAGATATTTGCCCAGGCTCTATCCTGGGCACTACACTTACGTGAGTGGCTGCTCTGGTAGGTGCACGATGTGTAGGCCAGTTGCATGTGAACACTCACGGTGTTGACAAGACATTGACTATATTATTTCCTATTTTGAAGCATAAGCATTTTTAGACTTTTTGCTGTTTTCAACTGTTCATATTTGTCATTTGATTTCTTTTATCCAGATGGTAAAAGACTGTTTTCCTTGCACAGACTTCAAATCATCTCTCTAGGTAGTCCATAACTCAGTGGAAAAAAAAACAAACAGTGAAAAGGAAAATAATAAATAAATACATGTAACAATCTTATTTGCAATTTTTTACTTTTTTTCAATTTTCACATTTCTGTAATACAACCAGTGCTGCCAGTCATAGTGGCCAGTAATAGGATGCTGACCATGGAAATGAAGTCCTCACTGGAGCAAGTGCTCTTTCAGTTACGGCTCACAGACATCACATTCCATGCTTGTTTATCGATGGGAGTAATGCAAAAGCCCTTTATTAAATGCTAACTTGGTCTAATCACCCTCCAATAGATTTGTGCACTTATAGCAAGTCTTTTCCATCAAACTGCCCTTCAACCAAAACAGTTATGAAGGCAAGCATGCATTAACCAGCCCATGGCCTGATCTTCCCATTCTCACATCATCAATTTTGGAATAAGTTACTTAGAGTGCTGCAGAAATGGACAATGCCACCTTATAGATCTAGCACAAGAACTGTAGTAAAATACGCAAAATGATAAAAATATTTGGTTATTTTACTGTGACAATCGGGATTTCCCAGACAATATTTATATCATCAGATTTATTCTCATGTGATGAAAATGAATCTGATGATCATTTCCATAGCAATCACAGCTGACAATTTTGATGTGTTAAGTCCTGATAGCAAGAGAGGGCATGAGGTATATCAGGATACTCATGGGGTAAAACAAGCTGAAATATGAAGATTGCCGTGCATCCCTAGCCCACCAAAGTGATTTCCTAGCCCACCACCTTGCCTAGTGCATCCCTAGCCCACTGCTGTGCTTCCCTAGCCCACCGCTGTGCTTCCCTAGCCCACCGCTGTGCTTCCCTGTGCTTCCCTATGCTTCTCTAGCCCACCACTGTGCTTGAATCGCCGTGCTTCCGTAGCCACTTGTGGCCATATTGTGCTTCCCTGCTGTGCTTCCTACTCCGTGCTTCCCTAGCCCACCGCCATGCTTCTCTAGCCCACCACTGTGCTGCCACACATCGCCGTGCTTTAGCCCACTAGCCCACCTGCCACCGCTGTGCTTCCCTAGCCATAGCCCATGCTTCCCCATTCTTCCCTCATGCTTCTCTAGCCACCACTGTGCTTCCCCAGGCCATGCTTCCATTGCCCATCGCCGTGCTTCCGTAGCCCACTGCCGTGCTTCCCTAGCTAGTCCGATAACCAAAAGTAAAAAGAAATACCTGATCTAATCAGCCAGATGAATTCGTAGTCCTGCATTAATTCAGTGTTTCCATTTTAGCCTCGCATTGTTTCGTGTTATAAATCATACCACTGACAAACCATTTCACCAGTTCATTACACTCACTGCAACAGTTCGAACACCGCGCGCAACCACAGTGACACAACTTCTGACCCAATGGCCAATGACATATCACTGCGCCATACACTGACATCACAAACAAAGTGTTAATAAAGGGGGGCTTGACCTCTGACTACGGAATAAATAGAAGGTAGGAAATGTTAAGTTTGAGTTTTTTGGTTTGCATGACACCAGCGTTATTTCTTCAGAGAGAGTACCATTTCTCCATCAACGATCTTGATTTGAGAGTCCCCTTAGCAGTGGAGGGCATGAAGTAGATCAGGGAAATTATGGGGTAAAACAGGCTTAAATAAGAAGAATAAAGATCAAAAATGCATAAAACTAGCACAAAAAATGCTTAAAATTGGCCAATAAAACTCTACAGATGTAACCGCCATCTTTGAAATTCTACAGACTGACGCACCAGAAATAAAAAATTCTACGGGAACCCAACCCACTTTTCAGCAAAACTACGGGAATTCACATATTCCAAATCCCCCTAAAAAACGTATTGACCAATAAACCAACCTAATATATCAATATAAATTGCCGTGACTAGGCGTGCCCTTGCCCGAGGGGAGGGTTGATGGGGGTAAAACACATTCTCTCCACCTCGGTGTGCATGGCAAGATAGAGCTGCATTTACACGGTAAAATAATAAACCAAATACCTTTATATCTGCAACCTTCAAACTTTCTTTTGCTTCCTTCTACCGTCTAGATTGCTTTGATTTTAATCACTTTTTTTCTGCATTTTGAGCTCTTGGGCCCACATATTAAACTGGGATTGTTACTGAAGTCTATTTTGTCTTCTTTGTCACTGTATAGTCTTAATAATAACCCAGAATGAACACAACAATGGAAACGCAATATTTCTTACCGGTGTTCTGTCTCAAAATGAGCAGGCCAGCCAGGTGTCAGCCTGGCAGCAGGCGAAAGGAAGTGTGAAATGCAGAATGCGCACGAATCTAAATAAGGCTATAAATCAATCTTAAAACACGTAAATGAAGTATAAGGACATTAATAAAACACCTTGAGAACATGAATGTGTAATATTGTACACTGATAAGTAGCCAAATATTGTTTTGACATGCGCATAGTAATACTGGAACTACTTAGGGCATCGCATTAAGGAGTTATGTGTTCAATGTTGTGCCTTTCTTCGCAAGGTAAACAAGCTGATCGACTTTGGATTTGAAAGGCAAGCGCACGTTATACTCTCGTCATTTAGCAGTGACTTTAAGGCCTCTGCATCTTATACCATATCCTATCCCATTATTTCTTCTGCTCTATAGGATGACGGTGTCCATTTTGCTCTATCTACACGTGTTGGTCTCTTCCATCTCTACCGGACTTTTTTCTGGAGGGTGTGTTGCTCTCGGTAACAATTACTAAAATTTTTCATGAAGTGATGGTCATGTCATCCTCATCGAAGGGGTTTACAGCTTCAATATTTCTGTCATTAAGTTTTTTGCATGATGTCGAAACTGTAACAAAACTTAGGTATTGAAACTTGAACCATGGCCTGGTTTAAATTAAAAAAAACAGCTCCATTGCATTCCAACATTCTTAAAGTTGTGCTTTGTGGCAAACATTTGATAACAGAACATGTTAAGTATCAGAATTATTTGGATTTGCAACATATCAAACACAAAATAGCCAACTTTGCAATAATTTTTATCAGGATCAAACTCCAACTCTGAGGTTACAATTCTGCTTACAGTTATCAATAACTCCATTTTAACTTTCCATTTGCCAAGCAAAACCAAACGTTGTCATCCCACCTTAAAAATACACAGAGAAACCTGAACTTGATTCAGAAAAACGCAATTTGACCTAGCCAGGACCTATCAGCTGATGAGGTCATGCAAAACAAACATGGAAGTTTAGGCCAATGAACATGAATGAACAGCCGTCTTTCACGCCTCTCCTGTAACATCCCGATGAATTTGAAAACAACAGTTCAGGTCTCGTGAAAATTACCTTGGACGCTACATGAGGCTTGATCCTGGATGATATTCGTAGCATTTTTGGCTCTTCGCCGGTAAAAGCCTCGTCCAAGTCCGGCCAATGAGAGGCAGACGATCCCCACCTGAAGACCCGAGATCTCTACTCAAAACACTCCCGTTTCGTCCCTTAGCGGAAAGGTCGGTCTACTAGATAAATAATTCTTATTGTTTGTGGTTCGGGAGTTCCTTATTATCCCACAGAGGATAATAATCATGACTATTTGTGAATGAGATAGTAGAAAAGTGAGAAAGGAACCATCGTCTGATGCCAGTGCTGCCATCTGTTGGTGAGGCCGGGAAGCTCTCATATTTACTCGTGGCGTGAAGGTGGAAGGACGTCTGTCGTGACCCTCTCTCTTCTCTCTCTTCACTTCTCCCGTTCGTGTGGCCAAAAGGTGAGGCCATTTTCCGTCGCTGCTTGACCTGACCTGACCCTCGTCGCGGCCACTCGCTTTCCAGACAGGGAGTGACGCTAGTTGGTTAAAAAGAGAAGGAAGGAGTTATGTGCCGAGGTGAGAGAGAGAGAGGACAGGTAGAGGGCTTGCTGGGATAAACTAATGCATTTATTTACCCATATTTTAGGCGGGGATTTCGATTCATTTCCCAACCTTTCGCGAGAGCTCGGGAAAGTGTCAATTTTTCTGTCTCTCTCGCCAGTCTTGCGTGGCACAGAAAGTGTCAGAGAT